GGGTAAGGAAGAAATAGGTGGCCCCTGACTGCGCTGACTGTCTTTGAAAGGTAGAGCATCTGACAGTAGTTGCCTCTGTGTCCTCTGCTTTGTGCACAAGGAAAGTCCCACATGCATCCTGTTGGGTAGGAGAATGATGTGGGGAGTGGGTGAGACTGACTGTAGGTTTAGGTTGAGGTGGGGTGGTGGGAGGAGAAGTCACAGGTGTGCAGTGCCTCTCAGGGTCATGGAGATGAGTAGCCCAGCTACTTCTGTCCCTCTGCTTGTTGCTTACAGTGAGTATGCAAAGTGTAAACAAGCGCATGTGCAGAAGGTCAATGTGTTGCAATTCACCTCTCCCCCAGAATAACAGATGACAGTGGGATCCAGCACTTTCCACAGCCATTCTCGGTGTATACAATGGTTTTGAATTCTTTATCAGACTTTAAAGTCATAACATGCCTTTGAACTATTTGGGTGACGAACACCTCAGTGTCAAAGGACTTTGGAGAAGTAGAGGGCTTGGCTGAAATTTCCATCGCCAGGTAAGGGTAGAGGTGGGAGTTCATACAGGTCTTCTGACCTCCCCTCCTCTTCCCACCTCTCAGCCTCCAGAGTCTGATCCATCAAACACATCACCTTTCCTACGTTGTCCAGATGAAAGAGGCTTCCTAAAGGCATTTCAGGGGCTTGTCACCAGCATATACACAACTCCAAGGTCAGACCCGACTTCTACACTATGATGGAACCACATTGCACAGGACTGCAAAACGTTAGAGTTTTGTTCTTTGAGCTGAAGTGAAGCTTAATTCTTTGTCCCTATTTAGAAACTTTTTGCCTGGTATCCACTCACTGGTATTTGGAGAAAGTCTTTTTTTTTTTTTTTAACCTTTTAAGGGAAAAATCCTGATTTCAGGTGCTCATTTACCATACCAGAGAGCTAAGTGAAGCAGTCGTAGGAAGTCATTCTGGTTTAGTCTTTAAAGCAGGACTCATAAGGCTCTGCACAGGGCAGTGCCTGCTGACTTGTTTTTGTAATCAATAGATGCTATAATCCCAGCTCATTACCAATTCCTTGCTTACCCAATTAATCCAAATTAGTGTGGCTCAATTTGGAGGAAAGCATGCTCAACTCAGGTTCTGGTAGAAACTTTATCCCCAGGCTTATAACTGGTCACCCAGGGCCCAAATGCCCTCTGTGGAAGAAGGCAAGTGCTGGCCAGCCCCCAAGGCTCTTTTCTTTCTGATACCATGGTCTACATTGAGCCACAGGGTAAGGGGCAGGGAGGAGTGGTAAACGGTGGGGAGGGGCTTGCAGAACCTGCTGACTTTTTTTTTTTTTAAACTAGGAATTATTAGCCGAGAAGATGCAGAAGATCTCCTGGAGAACATGACTGAGGGAGCATTTCTGGTCCGGGTCAGTGAGAAAATCTGGGGATACACCCTTTCCTACCGCCTGCAGAAGGGATTCAAGCACTTTCTTGTGGATGCCTCTGGGGATTTTTACAGCTTCCTGGGAGTGGATCCCAATCGCCATGCAACGCTGACAGATCTCATTGACTTCCATAAGGTATCCCTTGTAGGAGTGCTAGTCGGGGGTGAAACTGGCAGAAATCTGAGCTGAAAAGAGTGGAAGCAAGCACAGCAAGACTGCAGGCACGAAGCAATGGACTAGGGGGTCCCAAAGATGTGGACTAGACCAGATATTGTCAGTCTGGGCTTTGGAGCCCACGATTCTTTTGTTTGGCTGTCCCTCTGGGGCACGTGTGTACCTCTAATCCTTGTCCCCAGACCTCTTCTCACTTTGAGGACCTGAATGCTCCCTACTGTTATCGCCTGGGGTGGTTGATCCACTCTTTCTCAAAGCCCATTTCACCTCCAATTTACTCCCAAGCGTGTCCCTTTTGAGGACCCTCCAGCCAGGTCTCTGGCAGCTTCTGAGAGTTAGCTGAAGTACAGCAGGCCACCTCATGGTTAGAAGCTTTTCTAGGGGAGGAGTTACCATGCCTCTTGTTTGAACTCCAGCTTTACTATTTAGTACATGTGTGCTTGGGCAGGTTACTTAGTATCACTGAGCATCAGTGTCATGAGTAGGCAAATGTATGTAAATGATACTGAGCTTGGACCCTGTGAGCATCCACGAGGTCACGTATATAACAAATCTCTCTAACTGTAACGTGGTTACATTCTTATTTCCCAGCATTCTTTTTGTAATTTGTCCCCCTACCTTGGACCCCGCATTGAAAAAGATGTGGTCTTCCGAACAATGTAAGTAGTAAGAGCAACTTTTCTGTTAGTGTGGCTGTTGGCATCAGTGGTAACTGGGAGAAAGCCAAAGGTGGAACTCAGTGACCCAGAAAGGCAGGATGGAAGGATTCTGAGAGGCAGAGTGGTGGTAGCTCAGGTGCTCCAACATCTTCCTGAGTTTTGCATGTGTAGAAAGGCTTACAGAAGCATGACCTTCTCACTGGGCTTTTGCTACAATAGGGACTCTTGGATTGCTGTCTCTTCATCTCTTCATGGATGTCCTTAGAACTTGAGGGTCAGCTCTTAACTTGATCTTATGAGTAGAGCACGCAGAAAGTCATCTATTCACAAAAACCTGGGCGCTGAATATGGAGTGTTGTCCAGAAAACTGGACCAACCAGGGTCAAGGTAGATTTTTCTTTGTGTTGGAAAGAGGAAAAAGAAAGGGAGAGGATGCGGGGACTGGGACCTTCTCTGTGTGAAGCTCTGAGCCAACTGCTCTACATACATGCTCTCATTTAATCTTCATGATATTTCTGCGAGGGAGGGATCTTAGCCCCAAGGAAACCAAGGCTAAATTTTCATGGCTGGTACCAGCTAGGACCAGGAGTTAAGCCTCAGGCTATCTCTAAAGCATAGTTTGCTTTTCTTGTACAATGTAGTCCACTTTAGCAGTGATGAACTCCTTGTCCCTGGAAGTGTTTCAGACAAAGGCTAGATGTCCACCTCTCATGTCAGGTTCCTGTATGGAAAGGCCAGACAAGATGTCTTTGAACGTCTTTATTCTCTTCCAAACCTGAACCTTGGAGACTGACAATTTCATTTCTAACACCGAAGAGAGATATCATCTATGCTCATGTGGAGATTTGATGACCAGCTTTTATAAATTAAAATTTTAATTACACGATTAATTTGTGATTACATCCTGAGGAAAATCAAATACAATACAAAGGGAAAGCCTCAATCATTTCAAATCCTCTTCTCCACCTTGAATCATCAATTTGCCATGTAGCTAGCTATGTATCTTCTGGGCAATAACGTAAAAACTTATATAGGAAATACATAGTTCTGCTATTTTTCACATAATTTGCATAATTCTTTACATATAGTTGAACACCTTGTTTTCTTAACATGCATGGTTAATAAATCATTGAGCGAGATTTTAAAAAGCATGGTTTCTGGAATCAGCCTGCTGGGTTTTAAATTCCAACTTCATTACTGTGTGTGACTTTGGGCGACTACTCAGACTTTTGCACCTTAATTTCTTTCGCAGTAAGGTAGATTTAGTAAAGCTCTCACCTCTGCAGGTCCCTGTGAGCTTATAGTGAGAGATCACTGTGTAAAGTGTTGGAAAAATACACCCAAGACTTTTAAGTTATCAGGACGTGCTGGCTGTCATTAAACAATATCTGTGAGCTTTTTCCATACCAATATATGTACCAATTCTTGTAAATATCCTGTGGTATTCCATGGTATGAATGCATATTACAGTTTAATTACCCATTCTCCTCTTGATCCCAAAAAGTGCTGCAGAGACTTCCCTGTATGTCACTATGGATACATGTGTGGTATTTCTCTAGGGTGGGTCTCTGGAATTGGAATTGCTGGAGAGAAGAATATGCACATTTTAATTAGAAAAGATTTGCCAGTTTGCCCTCCAAAAACACACCAATTCAGGCTCCTGCCAAAACTGTACGAGGCTGTTTTCCCACACTGCTGCCAACACTGGGACCTATCAGTCATTTAATTTTGTTCTATCATATGGGCAGACACTGAATCTCACTGTGGTTTAGCTTGCATTTCTCTGAATACCACTGATGCTGAGGATCTATTCTCATGTTTAATGGCCACTTGGCTTTCTTCTTCTGTGAATCGTCTGTTCATATCCTTTGTCCATTTTCTATGAAGATGTCTCTTTCTTACTGACATGACAGTTCTTTCAGAGACTAAATTGCTCCTTAGTTATATCCATTCTGCTCTTCAGTTCTTCGACTAAAATTTTTATTTTTAATTTAAATGGTCATGCTTTTCACTTCCAGGTTCTTTCAATGGCTCTTTGCTTTAAAAAAAAAATAATGGCCCATTCTTACTTTGTGGATGACTTATTTCTTGTTCTGCTGAAGAGATTAATACACAGCTCTTAAAGCCTCCTACTGTTTGTTTTATAGACTTGACATTTTCCTGGGAGTCATTTCTATTAAGTTTAGCATCTATGGTTTTTCCTAAATGTTTATAAATTTGGGGCTATGAGGTAATCTTCCAACTTTAAATTTCCTGTTTATTCATGAGTAGACAGAGCTTCTGTTTCCCAAATTCAGTCTCTTCATGCTGGAGGGGTTGGATTTGACAGTGGGTAGCTCATCTTTTGGGAGTGCCTGAGCTTTTTGGGTCTCTTTGTCCGCCTAAGAAACTGTGTGCTCCTCCCCATTTCACGATCTGCCTGAGGCAAACACCTGTCTGGAGTTCCCCAACTTGTCCCCAACTTGGACTAGCCATGTCCCACATTGACAACCCCCTCCTGTATATCTCCCTCCTGACAACTCCCTCCTGTATATCTTTGGTTTTTCACAAATTCGGCAACCTCTTTTGCTTTGATGATGACTTCCTTCCTATTTTCCGGTAATTTTATGAATTTATTTCTTTTAAAAGAAGGATTTTTTTGGTCAGAAGGAGGCAGATGCATGTTCTTAGTCTCTTTGTCTTGAACTGGACACTGGTATAATTTTTATTTCTCTTTCTCGATTATAAATGAATTTTCTTTTTTTCCCTTTTAGGAGGAAATTATCACTGTTTCAGGGGGAGAGTTGCTGCAGGAACCCTGCGGACAGAGGGACAGCCCGCCAGACTACCATCTGTTGTTTGAATGATTTTTTTCCTCCTTATCAATTGAATTCATTTGGGCATCATATTTTTGAACTCAGCTTAAGAACTTTCCAGCTCGAATCCTTATGACCTTCTGGAAGATCCACTGCCATCCAGAAGAACAAGTCAATTTGTATGTCTTAAGGGATACTAAATATTTGGCGTGTGTGCTGCTGATCTCATCCCAGTGCTCAGGACAGAAATGGCTAACAGCTGATGCAACTCCTTCATGAAGAGAGTAGCTATGACCCCAGAAGACGAAGCCTATTTGTCATGGCTGCCCCAAACTGAGCTCTTAGGATGCATAGATCATGTTTTAATAATCCAAAATAATTCCAGTGCCGAACCCTAAATTTAACACATGACCCTGAATTTAGTATGTGATAGACATTTAATAAATGTTTGTTGAATGCATGCACTTTATCCAAAAGTTTTTCAGCAACAATCAGCAATGGTTTCTAGCAAGCTAGTTCCTGCTTGTCACTCTTTATAAAATCATGGCGATAATAGAAGAGAGATTGTAAAGGATTTTCTATGGAGGTCATAGATGCTGCATCTTTCATGATGTTATTATTACCCACATTGATATTATCACTGGAATTGCCTAAGGCTCCTGAGCCCCTGCTTCCAGGACAGGTGATTGACACTGCCTTGTCTTCCTTATTTAACCTCTTCTGCCACCCTTCTCTGTCTTTGAATTATTTCTTGGCCCTGGAGTTGCAATATTGAGGCAGTGGCTTCATGTATTTCTACAGCTGAACCCAAGACCTGGGGTGACTTAAAGATCCAAGAATGGTTTTTAGACATCTGATAAAGCCTCTGCTCCCTAGCACACGACCCTCTCTGGGGTATGAAAGTGTGCTCAGATGATTTTCTCTGTCCTCATGCTCCTTTTGACTTTGATTCTACTGTTCACTTAATCTGAGCGTGTTCTTCATATTAACAAAAGACTCTCCCAATAACTTCTCAATAACTCTCGGGGATGGTATCTATTTGTGCATACTTTTTTTTCCCTTTTAGGAGGAAATTATCACTGTTTCAGGGGGAAAGTTGCTGCAGGAACCCTGCAGACAGAGGGACAGCCTGCCAGACTACCATCTGTTACCTGAATGACTTTTTCCCCCTTATCAATTGGATTCGTTTGGGCATCGTGTTTTTGAACTCATCGTGTTATGACCACATACATATACAGAGAGGTAGCACATTAGGCTGGGAAGGTTACAGTCTCTACAGTCAGGAAAACTTGGGTCCAAATCCCCATCCTGGAACTCACTAGCATTATAATGCTTGCAGTATTGTGTTTGACAAGAGAAAAGGGATAGATGGACTCGGGATGTCAGGGAACTGGTTGCCCTTACTTGATAGGCTGTGCCAGACATCTCCTGTGTGCCACTTTACCTCTTGCCTCCCCTGTTCCTCAGATCCTTGACTGCATATTTTCCCCCAGCCACCACTACTATAACTAGTTGTGCATAGACTCTGCTTTTCCCCACTGCTGATCAGCCTTTTGTGGATATAAGCCAATGGTACCTTGCCACATGTCTCATCTGCTGTTGCCTCAGAGGCATAAGGCAGAAGAGATGGGAAGTTAATGCCCCATGCGGTGAGCCTTAGATAAATGGGAGTCAGAGGCTGGTAGATCAGTTCTTCTCCCTTCTTCCTCCTGTTCGGTGTGGCAGCCTTTCTAGAAGACAGTCCTGCGACATCAAGCAACCAGTTGTGATGAAACCAAACGGAAGCCGGATCAGTACGACACCGCCCTGTTCGTACTTCCTCCTTCTCTGCCTCACCCCTGCTGTCTCCTGCACCTCTGGGATTGCACTCCTGAAGTAGCAGCACATAAACTTTTGCCACGGGCTTTGCCTCTTGGGTCACCCAGGATAAGAATGTGTTCTTCACATTCATCATACAGATGTGTTCAATAATATCAATTTTGCAACTCAGCTCCGTGGCTTCCCTCCCGTCTGCCTGCCTCACTGAATGCATAAAATGAAGTGATGGAGGGAACCTTCTTCCTGAACTCTAAAGTGCCTTTAAACCATAACTGATTATCATTAAAATTACTTGTTTCTATTAGGACTCAGAGGAACCAAATTTTGTTTTTGACTCTGCTACTTACGTGACTTTATTCAAGTCATTTAATTCCCGTAAACCTCGGTATAACTGAGGAAGGGAAGAATTTTCTGTATGGCCATCAGTAGGCTTTTTGGCAGGTCAGTTAAATGATAAATATGAAAGCTCCTTCCAAATGAAAGGCATTGCTAACAACTACCACCATAACAGCTGCAACAACTTTGTGCTTAGCAGTGATGTGTCGGGGGATATGATGGGATGGTTTTCAAGGTGTTGGAAGAAACTTCTGTTACAAGAACTAGCAGCAGCTTTGAAAGCAGACCAAGATGGGTTGAGACCCTGAATCCCCGGGCTGTTGTTCTGTCACCCCTAATTAGAATGTGAGAGACAACAGCTGAGTTTTCCATCCCTAACACATTTATTTCATCTTATTTGGGGCCTGCACTTTCTGCATGTCTCATATATTTTAGGTTTTACCTGGGTTTAAAATAAATCCCTTGTAAGTTGTCCTGCAAATGAAATTACTGTCTGGAAAACTGCAATTTCATCTTGAGAGTTTTATTATGCTAATAAATGTCAGGATTCTCAAATAAAGGAATTGCATTTTTTTCCCTGAGCCCTACAAATATAATGAAAAATAGTCAGCTACAAGACTCAGCAGAGGAGAAATTTACAGTCTTTAACTAGAAAGAGAAGTTGTAAAAAACACTATGCTACTTAATGGAAGATAAATTTCAAGGAATGAACGGGCAACTTGGGGTACAGATTCAGGGAGATTCTGGTGTACCAGAGAGGCTTTCAGGGACTATCTAAGGGGCATGAGTTACAAGAAACTATGGCAAATGTTACTGTGGAAGGGGCCCATGAGCTTGAAGACCTGGAAGCCTGAGGAATTTGTTCCTCTCTTGAACTCTTAAACCTTTCATGAGTCTCAGAACTAAATTGTATGTGTGTGCATGCATGTGTAAACTCTCATAACTGTATTTGAGGGAGACAATGCTGTTATCTCTATCTTGCACCTGGGGAAACTGAGGCATTCAGAGCATCCCCAGGATCACTTCTCTGGGAAGTGGCAGCACAGGGATTGACTACAGTCTGGCTTCAGAGTTTGCTTAGACCTTGAAGTAGCATAAACAAACACAGGGGGATTGTTGTTAAAAATGTAGATTCTCCTTCAGAGGATCTGGGGTTGGGCTGGAGGTTCTGTGTTCTTCACAAGCTCCTGGATGCTGCTGATGCTTCCAGACTGTGGGCCACACTTGTAGAAGCCAGTCTTGAAAGCGGGAGTTGGCAAATTATAGCTGCAGGCCAAATTCAGCCTGCTGCCTGTTTCTGTAGCCTGAGAGATAAGAATGATTTTTACATTTTTAAGTGCTTGGAAAAATTGAAAAAGAGGAATGATATTTTATGATCTGTGAAAATTATATTAAATTCAAATTTCAGTGTTTATAAATAAAGTTTTATTGGAATATAGTCACACTCATTTGTTTACATATTGTTTTTGACTGGATAGGGCCTGTAAGGCCTAAAATATTTACTATCTGGTCATTTATGGAAACAGTTTGCTGATTCTTGCTTTAAATTATGAGGCATCTGTTAAAAAGTATTTTGCTTTCTTTGCTTTATCTAAAACTACTCTTAAAGAAGATTCTAATACCATCATTTAGACTTCAGAGAAATCTAAATGACTATATTAAATTTTCTAGTGGTGTTCCATTTTAATTTTGAATCTCATTTCTAGTTTTCAAAAAGGAGATTTTTTTGGGAACTTGTGAAATATTTCTAGCCAAATGTAAGCAAGTAATATCACAATTATGTAGTTACTTTACATGGCGTATAATCATTTACCTTCTAGAATTTGTCATATTTTTTACACATAACTGTATATTTATACATTTTGCCCTTCAGTCTGGGAGGTCCTAGAAATCAGGCAAGGCCATATTTGTGTATTTTAGGGTGCCTGGAACAGTCAAGTTGTGGAATTGATTTGTTATGTATTAGGTACAAACAGACTGTGTATATTTCAAAGACCTACTTTGACTTTCAGGGGAGCCCTATGACAGAAAAGTTCAGGCTGAGTGTTCTGACTGCTTTGGGTTGGAATCTCGAATTTACTATTTTCAGTTACTAAGAGGAATAAATAAACAAATAACTAATTGAGATTGAAAAAGTAAACAAACAAACAAATAAGCTACCAAAAACCAAACAACAACAACAACCAAAAAAACCCCAAAAAACCCAGCTCTGCTGACAGTCTGAGATGGGGGAACTGAGAATTAAAATAGAAGTCACGACCTCAAATTAAAACAACACTGAGATACCACCTAACTCCAATCAGGATGGCTGTCATCAATAACTCAAAAAACAGCAGATGCTGGAGAGGATGTGGTGAAAAGGGAACACTTCTACATTGTTGGTGGGAGTGTAAACTAATACAGCCTCTGTGGAAAGTAATGTGGCGATTCCTAAAAGATCTAAAAATCGACCTTCCATATGACCCTGCAATTCCCCTACTGGGAATATACCGGGAGAAACTCAAATTACTCTATGAAAAAGATACCCGCACACGCATGTTTATTGCAGCATTATTTACAATAGCAGAAACATGGAACCAACCATGCTGCCTATCGAAAGAGGACTGGATAAAAAAAAAAAAGTGGTACTTATACACGAGGGAATATTATGCAGCCATAAAGGACAAAATTATGAACTTTGCAGCAACTTGGATGGACTTAGAGGCTATAATACTGAGTGATCTATCACAGAAACAAAGAACCAAATATCATATGTTCTCACTCAAAAGCGTACCTTGAACAACTATTGGCAATAGTGGGAAATTGCCAGGGGAGGCGGGGGCACACTTCATCAGCAAGGATACCTGCATAATGACCATTTGTATACCTAAGCCTGAATTGTACCCCACATATT